TACCTTTTCACTATCGGTCTGTGACGAACACTTTTGTTTGCTGCAGCCACCTTTCCATATGATTTCTTTGCTGACATGTTCGAACATGGCTCCATCGATACGATTATTGAACTCGACAAGCAAGATGATGAAATGCTGTCGGATTGGATCCAGTGCATTTGCGTCGTTACTTTTGACCTGGAGTCTTGCCTGGCAGTGGAGGTACCTATTATTTATTGTGACTTCCTGTGCGCATTTACCGGCTGGCTATATTGTAATACCTATCCGTGTTTCTGTTGTTTTTTTTTCTTACATAGTTGACCTACCCCAACGACAACAAATTATTCGAGGAAGTCAAAACTAACCTCTGTAGGTTTTCTGTAACTAAGCATTGAAGGACGGACCCACGGCGCTACGACGGACGCACACGAGAGAACTCTTGAAGCCGTCGAGAGCTAGCGTGTCGCCTAGAACGGTGGACTCTAGTACTCGACGCTCTGAGTGAGGTACGTAATGAAAACGAAATATTACAATATTATTGTCGACCAGCAGCGTCCACCAGAGTAAAAAAGAAACTCCTGTCGTGTATGCAGTGGATTGCTGGTTGTTTATTTCCCCCACTGATCAGTCATTCGTGTGATTGCATTTGTTGTAGGTACCTTTTCACTATCGGTCTGTGACGAACACTTTTGTTTGCTGCAGCCACCTTTCCATATGACTGCTTTGCTGACATGTTCGAACATGACGCCATCAATTATTAAACTCGACAAGCCCGCTGATGAAGTGCTGTCGGATTGGATCCAGTGCATTTGCGTCGTTACTTTTGACCTGGAGTCTTGCCTGGCGGTGGAGGTACCTATTATTTATTGTGACTTCCTGTGCGCATTTACTGGCTGGCTATATTGTAATACCTATCCGTGTTTCTGTTGTATTTTTTTTCTTACATAGTTGACCTACCCCAACGACAACAAATTATCCGAGGAAGTCAAAACTAACCTCTGTTACCTGGCGTTTCCCAACTCCAATTCCAGATGTATGGGAGTGAATCAAATCAATGGCAAGACAAATTGTTGTCAACCTTCAAATGTCAGTCAACGCCATATAAACAATATTGCGAAACTTCCATTTTTTTTTGACAAGCTGATCTTCGTTGTTTGAATGGGTTTGTTTTCTTTCGACAAACCAAAGATATATCTCTTTCACATGGATATTTTCAAAATGTATGTTTAACCGTTTGTTTTATTTAATATACTAACTTCTTATAAGAATACAAAACAGTATGTCATGCATACTTATTCAGAAATGAATTTACATTATTTATAGGTAAAAAAAAATTCTATTTGGGTAAAAGACCAATTAAATATTAGTACAACTCTAAATAACTTCAATCATTTAGTAAATTGTGTTTTAAATTTATTCTTGATTTATTAACCCTGTACATAATTTTAGTTTGAAATATGTTACATTATCTATATAATGTAATGTTCTAGGTCACAAGTAATGTACATAAGTTGATGCATTGATTGTTGTGTTATATCTGTATATTATATCGATGGCGTAGCGCACAAGTGTGATAAGTGACATTTTTTTGAAAATTCTGCACATTATGCCCAAACGTTGTAAGTGAATAGTTCATTATTTACTCCGATAGATGTCGTACAGTCCGTTACATTTTTGAATTTGTTATTACATCTCAAACTTAAAAATCGTTCTCCTGAACAATTACGAAAATGTCACTTATCACACTTGTGCGCTACGCCATCGATATTATGTAGGATAAGTAGCAACACAACATACCATATTTATTTTACATTACAAAGCTTATATCATAAATTCCTAAAATGAAAATCAATTTGCCTATTTTAGTTTAAAATGGATCTATCTTTGAATAGTATTAATTTATGATAATAATGAAAATTATAAATCAATATTTTTCTTTCTCGTTGTTGAAAATTCAAATAAACCAACATACCTAATAAGTGCTCAAAATGTTCAATTATTAATTATTGCTTTGTTGATTATTAAATACTTATGGAATTACCTAATTATACATTTCATCTTTTGAACTCTAATATATTGATAATTGTATGAAGGTTTGTGTAAACAATGTGTTGTAACTAAAATTAAATGGTCCATTCATAGACTAAATTACGTTTAGGAACCATAAATTAGCTCACTAACTGATTCATTAAATGTTTTGTGTTTATTGATTGAAATATAGTTTAAATTTTAAAATAATAATTCTTATTAAACACATTTTTTACTTGTACCTAGCTTAATTAAGTGCAAAGTAATTATTTATAACCTATAAGTACATAATGTACTGACTAATGGTAATAAAAAAATAACATTAATTCAATATGGATGTATTTCATTGTTCAAACTGCAAATACAACAGTTTGTAACCTAACCAAGATGGAATGCTTTTTGTTGTTTAGAACATCACATTCATTATTTTAAAGTATTATTAAAGAGAATATCATCATAAGAAACTTGAATGATTTTTTTAGATATTGATTAAGGACAAATTATAAAAAGTAGACTTGGGAGTAAACTATAGATTTTAATATGAATTTATATTGAATTTAAAAATATTGTTATTGTAGAATTACATCAACTATAAATTTATGGTTTCCATTCGGCCTTTTTAAAATATTTAAATAAATCAAATCTTTGAAAAAATTAAGAACTTATAAATCTTGCGGTCTAGAAATGCAATATCCCAAATTATTTAGAAATATTAACAATTTAATGTATTTATATAGCAAAATAATGTTCACATTATCATATTTATTTGGTTTTACCTAATTATGGTATTTTCCTATATAGTTATAGTGGATAGACATAGATAATTTTTTGGAACCAGCTTCTGTAACAAATTTCGGTATGTAAGTCATGCCAAATGAAAATTTTCATCCGGATATGTGAATCTTATGTTACTTAATGTATTTAGATATAGTCATTAAATACGTCGTACTTTTATTTTTACAAGATGTAACAAAACCCCAGGAGTTTCCAAGTGAAGTCCTTAATTTGGAAAGCCTTCAGACTTCTACCATATGTTTTGGTGTACAAAGGGCTACAGAAATCATACGGGATAATATGGGCTTCTTTAATTATAAAAATAAGAATACTGAAATTAAAATGTAAGTATAAAATATAAAAGGTTTAAACAAATAGAAAATTAATTAATTTAATATCTCAATTTTATAGTTATTTGGTATGTATTGAAAAAATCACAAAATCCGGGCCCGGCAACTGCTCAAATATCCCCTGAGCAAAACGATGTGAGATTGATTTTGTGTATGCAGCTCTATCATCAAGTTAGGCCGTTCAATGTGGATGTTCCATTACTTCGGCAAACCTTGACAGAAAAGGTTATAAACTATATGTTCATACACCCCAAGAGGAATATACATGGAAGAAAATGTTAAGTAATATATATTTTTTTTACTATTTTAGATCTAAAATAAGTGCCCACTAATAATTGTAAATTATTTTATCTGAAAAATTGAAGTGAATATTAATATTTTTAATTTTATGATATATGTTTAGTTATAAACTGGCCTACTTCATGGTTTTTCAAATGCTGCCCAAGATTTTAACTTTTCACAAGGTTTTGATTGTATGCTTCTTCTGAGGCATTTCCTGCAACACCAGATGCTATTAAAGAACTCCACTTGTTATTGATGGTAAGCACACAGTTTGCAATTACATTGCAACATCCAGCAAATAAGTAAATTTTTATATTTAATTTTATTAAATGAGTTTAAATACCAACAGTAATTTTCACAGGTTTTATCAAGGTAAGCTGTTGATAAACCAACAAGTAAAGGGCTTAATTTTAGCTTAAATTTTTTGTTTTTATTCAGCTATATATCTCTGAAAATGTCGATTCTGCATCTGAAGTTTCCAATAACTACACTCATATAATTAAAAACCATTATATAAATAAAATAAGCAATTATATTGTAATAAAGTACATACTTTGTTACAGAGTTTCTCGTTGGATTTTGCAATAATATCAGGGAAGACACAAGAAATATATTATAAAAAGTTGCTGTCATATATTAGAAATGTATTACCGTTAATACACAGCCAACTCACAATAAATGGTGACTATGAATTTGGTTTGGTGAATGGGGTTAAGATTATATTCCCTGATATAAATCAAGCATCAAGGATGATATTTCAATTTTTTCCAAGTATCTATATTTTTTATTTTATTTTATTTATTTGTATAAAACAGTTCAAGTATAATTTGTGTCAGAATAACATATATAAGTTGTACTTTTCGTTTTAGGCAATAATACGCTATTTTAGAAATAAAAAGACTACCATTTACCACAATCTCATTAAAAGTCATCCAATTGCTGCATGAGTGTTGAAATTGGTAATTCATGAATATTGATGCAATAGATATTATAACGTTTTGTTTAATTTAAAAATAAATTACTATAAATAAATTACTTACAGGTTTTAGTTTTACCATATCTGCCTGCAGTAATAACGGACAACTTTCCTTCAATGGGTGCGTTCCGGCTGGACGCTTTGTACGCTTCAAGCGCTCATGAGCGCTCCCAGTGAGTTCCACTTGGCATTTATAAGCGCTCACACTACAACCGTGACGTCACGAGATCTGAGCTCTACGTCATCGTCACGCGCTCACCAACGCTCAAATGAAATAGGTAGTGCAGCGTAAGCGTTTGCGTCGTTTGCGATATCTTATCAGTTTATCACAGACCACAATTTGAAAATAAATGTACGGCAGTAATATTTATTATTAATATTACATTTATTACAGCAGTAATAGTTTAATAATTTAATTCAATAGTAATATGAATAATAGCAATAGTAATAATATGTCAATTTCTATTATACTGATGGATGGAGTGGATGGAGAAACGTACACATTAAATGTGACGAGGGATGAAGCGAATCGTATAAATACAATTATTATAAGAGTAAATCAAATTTTTGAACTTATTTTGAATTCAATTTGAATTTTTTTGTTCTTAGATATGGTATTCGCAGCTGAAATGTTGGATATATGCAAGAAAAATCAATCTGATTCACAACAGCCGACAGAACAACTTGAACAGACATCACAGAATAATTATTCTGGAACAGTACAAGAAGAACAGACAGCTGAAGTTGATGTCAATGTATTTAAATGGCCTCATGAGGCCATATTACTTCTTATTGAAGAATATAGAAAAACGGCCGACAATTTCTGTTCAGGGAAGATTTCCCAAAAAAAGATTTGGCAATCAATAGGAGATGAACTGTTAAAAAAATCTTACAATGTAACTGGTCCTCAATGTCAATCAAAATTCGGAGGTTTGAAGAGGACGTACAAGTCGATCAAGGACCACAACAGTAAGTCTGGAAATGGTACCAGAACTTGGCCATATTTTAATTTATTGGATGAATTGTTAGGAGCTAAACCGTACATTACACCCATAGCCACTCTTTCTTCGACGGGGAAAAGGGACCAACCAGAAGTGGAAAATTCTCCATCTTCTGCCATAAGCCCTGGTCATGAAAATCCTAAAAAGAAACAAAACTATTTTTCTCCTGTTGATAAGTTTAGATTAGCAATTGAGGAAAATAGAAAAGTGGTAGAAGAAAACAGAGAAAAGCGACATAAAGAAAAAATGGATCAGAAAAAGGAGGCTATTAATCTTTTGGCTAGACTAGTTAGTGTACTGGAAACTAAAAATTAGTGATTGAGATAACTGTAATTATTCAATATATATATGTGATTTGTAAAACTTTAAAATATTAAGACTGAGGATTATAATCTGTTAGATATGTTTATTATTTATTATTATTTTTATTATTTATTTTGTTTATTATTATTTTTATTATTTATTTTGTTTATTATTATTTTTTTTTTATTATTATATATTTATGTTCAATATTTCAAAGGTTGAAAATATATTTGTTTGATATTTATTTGTGAACTAATGTTGTTAACTGTAATTAGTCAATATATATGTGATATATATGTGATATATATTTAATATAATATATATTTTTGTTTGATGGTAATACTATTACTAACTTATAATAATATAAAAATAAAATACAAATTGTTATGATTCAGACTAGTTTTTTTTATTGTACACATATCATTGTATTTACACTATATATGGCGAAAAGGTAGTTGATCACACAAATTGTCCTTCTTGAATGCTCCTTGACGATTAATTGCAACCAACTCTCCAAGAGCTTGTATATTTTCGTTTACCGGTGTTGTTTCAGGTAGACCAGGAAACTCATAATTTTGTAATAAGCATATATTATGTAAAATACAGCATGCAATAATATACTTGGGAATTAGATCGACACGCTTCATATCCAATGTTGTTAGGAGACTACGAAACCGTCCTTTTAGGAAACCAAAAGACCGTTCAATTGCCATCCTTGCAAAGGAATGACAAAAGTTGAAATTCTTTTGCTTTTGAGTTAAGTGCCCATTATCACGGTATGGAACCATAAGATGTTCATGCAGTGGCGGCGCTAGGTTTTGCGGGGCCCGGGGCAAGTAAAAAATGTGGGGCCCTCTGGCCCTCATTCGTATCTTATACATTACATCCCAATTCCAAATTAATTATAGATTTAATTCAAAAGATAATTTTGTCCATCGATTTTAAAACCAAAAATTATTTTACATTAAGTAGGTAAGTATGTAAAGAAAATCAAAACAATCAATGATAAATGTATAATCATATTATTATTTGCATAGAAAATAAACTAATAAGTTAAGTTAAAATACTAGTAGATAAGTAATAACTTATATTTATAAACAAAGTTTAAAAAAAATGAGTGTGCTGAACAATTAACAATATTCTTTTTTTATTTTTATTTATATTTTAAAAATACATAATACATTGTTAAAGCAAAATGTTGTCAGTTATAATTCTTTAATTTTTCTAGCTTTTTTAGATGCAAAATCATTTATTATATCTTCATAATTTAGTTGTTCTGATAGTTCTTTTTCTATACGAATTGTAGCAAGTCCAGTAAGTCTTTGTTGTGACATGGTACTTCGTAAATAAGTTTTTATAAGTTTTATTTTGAGAATGTTCTCTCTGCTCCAGCTGATGTAAGCGGAATTGTTAACATAATTCGTAAGGCAATATTCAAGTTGGGAAATGCGTTCGGTTTTTTTTTATGTCAGAAAGTACTTGAAGTGGTGTAGTATTTTTATAAATTAAATGGCGGAAAATTAATATTTCTTCGTATAAATCATAATCGAAATTATTTTACTGATTGCTAAATATCGATTATTTATATAATTATATATTTATTATGACTAAATAAGATACCAGAAATATCAAATTGACCGTAAAATTAAAACCAGTCTTGTAGTTAAGACTTACAGATCAAGCCGATTTAATATTATTTCAACGAAAACAATAGTATTTTTATTGATGCCAAATTGTTGTGAAAAATAATTAATAAAGTGAATTTTGTGGTATTTAAATACAAGTATTTATATTATGTTAAAAATACTCTTATAAAGTATTCAGAATATTTAAAAAATACTTTAAAAACATTGTATTTAGAATAGGTACCAAAAAATACTTCAAAAAGTATTTTAATACACGTATTGAAATACTTGGAATCGAATAATCTACAAGACTGATTAAAACAAATAAATTATAAAATTACTTATTTAAGATACAAAGAGCTATGTTGAAATATTTATGAATTTTTTTAATGGCAGTCAGCACTCCTGCTTCGCTATCTTTAAAATTAAGAAGTAAAAATATAAAATAAATATGTTCTAATGTTATATGAAACAAAAATTATACGTCGTCGCCCGTCGGCTATCACTCGAATTCTCCTGATATGCTGGAATCCGATAACAAATCTACCCGTATCACTAATCTTTATCGAATACTTTAAGTATTTTATTCATATCTCTCGTAGAAAGTAGGTAACTATTAGTTTATTTTATATATTAATATATTATACCTGCACATATTATTGGCTACATCAAATGCGATTAGCCAATAACGACGATACAACCTTCGAGCATTTTAGTTTTAACAATCATTATAAACAACTAAAATAAGTCGGTTAGAGAACGTATAGAAATCAACTTAAATTTAATGTGATACATGGGTATTTTGGGTAATATACTTTTTGTTGTTAGTATACCTAATAGTATATGTTGTGTATACCAAGACTCGTGATCAAAAATTAACTTAATTTATGTTTTTTTGGTTTCATTCAGGTGGGAGCACTATAAATATCGGGCCCCAAAATCGCGGGGCCCGGGGCACATGTCCCGCTCGCCCCGACGATTGCTCCGGCACTGTGTTCATGCAAGGTATAAGCGGAATCACCAATTAAATGGGTGTTATTAGGAAATTTGGTTGCGTCATCAAGGTAATTTTTCAGTTCAGATAATCTGAAAACCCGTTGATCATGTACTGAACCCACATTCCCAGCATAGCAATGAATAAAACGACATTTATGATCGCACACAGCCTGTTGAAAAAAACAGTTCATTAAAATCGAATAAAATTTAAAAATTAAAACATTAACATATTTGTAATTGAATTGAATGGTGACCTTTTCTATTAACATAAGTTTCTTGATGGTCATGTGGTGCAGGAATGTTAATATGTGTCCCATCAATCGCACCAAGAACATTTGGAAAAGTACTGTTAGAAAAAAATCCATTTTTAATTTCTTCAACTTTTTCTTCATTTGGCCAAGTGATGAAAACTGGTGCCAACATTTCTAAAGCAACAATGACTCTTCTAATACATCTTAATGCAGTAGCTCGCCCCACACCAAATTTTTCACAAATTGATCTAAAAAGTTATTAGGTAGGTATCATATAAAAGATAGAACTAAATATAATAATATGGCAAGTAATATTATTGCATCTAAAAATAATGTTATTTGTGTAACAGAAGTACCAGTAAGAGTCAGGAGTAGCCATTTTCCATATTGCAATTAAAAATTGTTTATTTGGTGAAATAGATTTGCACCCCGGCTTCATTCTTTTTAACTTTGGAGCGATTAGGGTTAATACATATTCAAATGTGGTTGGAAGCATCCTAAAAAATAATACAATAATTTTATGTAGAATATTTACATTTAATCTTATTAAAAACTTAAAAGCCTACTACTAACCTGAAGTGAGATTTGAATTGTCCATCATTGAATTGTGGTACGATGGTTTCAACATAATTCTGCAACCGAGGTATTGCAGTTTTAGTCTCAAGATTCTGTACAACGTATTCATACAATTCATTGCTGTCATCTTCACTGTCATCCGACGAAGAAGAAAACATAATATCACAGCATTGTTGTATAGCCATAATAACTAACGCACGATCATTCAAATTATTCATTATAAAAACAAAGAAACAAAACGTTGGTAGATTATTACAATTTAAAAAACAAATTAGATTTGTGGATTATGTTATCAATTTCATTTTTGATAAAATGATAACACGGTCTAAGCGCTCATGGCAGGTTCAACATCGTTCCACTTGGAACGTGCCAACTAATGCCTCAATTCCGGTGGCGGAAAATTTGTGTGGAGCCAAATTATTTTATCCTTCGACCATATAAACTAGTTTATATGGTCGAAGATTTTATCCATCTGAGTTATCACGTATTGTTTATTATCAATATATTTTGATAAGATATTTCATAATAATAATATTGAATTGATTAATAATTTAATAATTAAAATAATTAAAATTTTAAAGTATACCAATATACTAGGTAGTATGTATTATATATTATTATATTATAATATTATATTATACTATATATTATTAATTATTACCTTATTTTACTGATTTTTAACTTGTTTAACTTTGAGTAAAACTGATCCAAATTTAATATTTATGACCAAAAATTCCCAATTTATTAAAAATAAATTTTCTTATGTCAAAATGGAAAAGAGGATCTCATAGTTTGTCGATCGACTTTCAAAGATAAGTATACACACATTACTATATTATTTTTTATTTATTTTTATGGTTTATGTATTAATCAATCATGGTGGTAAGTTATTTTGATTTTATTAAGTAATTAATAATTCTTTTTCTACTTAATTTGTATGTCATGCTTCATAGATTTGTGGAGAATGTGGAAAAGATTTTTCCAAAGCATTTAACTTGAAACGTCATCAATCAACTTCTTTGACTTGCAATCTTCAAAATAAGATTGTTGAAAATAATTTTGTAAGTACAAAGTAATTTTATCAATTAAATTAATAATTTTTAATTTATAGTTACAATTTGTAGGCATGCTGTGAATGTTATAAAAACTTCAATCGTAGAGATACTTTAGAACGGCATATAAAGATTCACCACACGTCCACAACGTTTAACGTTCAGAAGAACCCCAGTAAATATAATAATGTAAATATAAATAGAGTTAAAATTTAACATATACAGGTATAATTCTATACCACTTTACGAGGATATTATTTTATGAAATAGATATGCGAATTATGCCAGAAAAACTTTGCTAGTCTTGATGGACTAAAACGCCATCAAAAAAGTGTACATCCAAAACGTGTTAAAGGAGGAAAACAATTTCTCCGTGTCCAACAATATTTTGTAAGTCAATATACTGTTAAATAAATGTATTTTTTTATGATTATTGATTTATAATATGATAATTGATTTATAATATATAATAGGAATGTAATTACTGTAATAAAAAATTCCTGCGGAAAGACACCCTAATCCGTCATATTAAATGTGGTCACTTATTTGAATCAGATGTTTTTGTGAGTTAATAAATATTTCTCAATAAAATTATATTATTGAATACTTTTTTAATAATTGGGGTATGTTTTGATGAATCATTTAGGAATGTTCTCATTGCTCGAGAAAATATACTAGAAAAAATGATTTAGCAAATCATATCAGTGAATGTTTTAATTACAAGATTGCTGATTGTTCTAAGGTAATATTTTATACAACATGGTAATTAGTATAATTTGCAAGTGTTTTTCATAACGTTTTTGCAGGTTAAACATTTTAAATGTCTCTTGTGTAAACAAGATTTTGACACAAGAAAATGTATTAACGATCATTATCAAAAAGACCATAGTATTATGTTCCAATATGAACAATTACAGTTCCAAAACATTCAAGAATTTGAAAGATGGAAGATAAATGTGGAACAAAAATCATACTTTCAATTTTCTACAGCCGTATGGTGGAAAACCAAAAAATGTACAGTCACAAAATATGTATGTCATCGTTCAGGTGAAAAACGATTAAAAACCATGCCAAAAATAATCCCAAAACTGATTGGTTCAAAAAAATTAAATGGTATTTGTCCCACATTTCTGACATTGAGGGAATTCAATTTTAGCGGTGTATGTTCAGTGATATATCAAAAAACACACCTAGGACATGAGTGTGATAAAAGAGAGTTACCCCATACAAGTTTGAACGCCAACGAGAAATTAGCCATTGCCAATAAGTTGGCGCTAGGTGTACCACTTAACGTTTTGTTAGGACAATACGAATCATCCCAGCGAAACGGTGAAAATATAAGCAGTCGTATTGATTTGTTAAATTACCATGATGTGGCGAATGTTGCTAAACAGTATAATTTGAATGAACCTTTTCCAGCACTGTATAAAGAAGATTCCAAAAATATAGCCAGTTTTACTGTAAAAAATAAAAATGCAATACTTTTTTACAAAGCTGAAGGAGTTTTAGATGAGGAGTTTCCTACATTAAAAAAAAATGATTTTGCATTAGGGTATATGGACCATAATCAAGAACATAATTTGAAGCGTTACGGGTACAAAACAATCTGTTTTGATGGTACACATGGTACAAATCCTAATGACTTCATTTTACACACAATTTTGGTAACAGGTGTTGACTGTGAAGGCTATCCAGTTGCTTTCTTGTTATCTAATAGAAATGATGAAGTAGTTGTTAGTGTTTTACTTGAAAAAATAAAAGTTCGAATTGGTATTGTGTCGCCCAAAACCATAATGTCGGATATGCAGATGTCATATTTTAATAGCTGGGTAAAAATTATGGGTCCTGTGAAACAAAAACTCTTTTGTACATGGCAAGTACATGAAGCATGGCGAAAAAATTTTTCGAAGATAAATAATAAAGAAAAACGTGTAACTGTTCGTAAAAAAACTTTATGATTTATCAACAGAATTGAATGAAGAGGAATTTAAGAACAAACTATATACATTCCTTTCAAATAATGATGAAGACTTACAAAATTTCTTGGACTATTTTTTTAAATATTATGGCCAAAATCCTCAATATTGGGCTTACTGTTACAGGCAATATGCTGGATGTAATACCAACATGAATTTAGAAAGTTTTCATAGAGTATTGAAAGAAAAGATTATTTGCAGATTGAAAGTTACAAGTGTCTACAACTGTTTGTGTTATTTGGAAAAATATTTAACCATGAAGGATAATGATATACAAAAGAAACAAATACGAAATAAACATACAAATAAATTGAAAGTTCTTCGAATAAACCATAAAAAGATCGAAATTGAACCAAAATGTTCTATTAAACCTCTCAGCATCAATTCCTGGCATATAAAATCATTTACAGATGAAAAAATATACACTGTACTTAAAACTGAACTTAAAGAGTGTTCTATGTATGCAGATGAGTTTACTTGTTCACTTCCTTGTACAATATGTAAGACATGTTTCCATGATTTCATTTGTAGCTGCCCTGATCACAGTATAAGAAATAACATGTGTAAACACATTCATGCGGTCTGTATGTACAATCTCAATAATAAACGAAACATACATTTAGACGAGGATAAAGGTAAAAATAATACTGAGATCGCACAAGACCAACAGCCAATAGAAAATATGAACCAAAATCAAGTTGAACACTTAGAGAGTGCTCTCCAAGCACATCAGGATGATGGTAAGAGTAAATGTGACCATTTGAGGAACAAGATATTAAAAGAGATTGAACAGTCCTTGCAAAATGTAGAAACAAATGATCAACTCCAGCAGATCAATAGAAAATTAATTGCACCAATACACGCATTCGTTTCTGCTTCCAATGTTGAAACTGTTCCTCTTACAAAACGTAAGCAAAGCGATTCTATGCGCTTATTTTCTAGTGAAACGGTTCATAATCATGAGCGCTATTGTGAGCACTGTGAGCGCGAAAGCGTCTAACCGGAACGCACCCAATAGAGGATGGATTTCATAGAATTGTAGATTATGTGAACCAATTTCCCAATTTTGTGATTTATTGTGAGGGATTTTTATTTGATTATATTTGGATGTATTGGTTTGAAACGATGAAACCTACTGCAATAACGGTTTACAAAAGAGATATTTGAACAAATATCTTTGTTGAAAGTTACCACGCTTCAATGTTAAGGCTGATTAAACCTCATCCCAAAGTGTGGGAATTCCTTAGTAGTACTTAAATAATAATTATTACTTTTGTTCTTAAATTTGAACTAACCGTGGCAATTAAATTTATTATGTGTCTGTTTAAATTTCATG